ACTAGCAAGTACTATGGACTCGAATATATATATATGTGTACATATGTATGTATAGCCAATTTACTGCAAGCAACGTTGGACTTCTGAAATGCAGTAACACATGCATATGATAAGTAAGCTAGCGGTTAGTGGTAAACGCACACACGCAGGCTTGACGGCCAACCAACCGTGTGGACATTTGAAATTATGACATTCGCAAGGGAGACAAAATGTGGCTGAATAGGCCAGTATTGTCGTTGTGCAACTAAAGGGGCAACTTTTAAGCGCCAATTCCCTTTGACCCGACTTTTTGAAAGATTTGATTTTTTGACTCTTTGACTCCAAAATTATGTGCGACCTTGGCCCCCTTTCTGAGGTATTTTAGGAAATGTTATCATAACCATGCTATTAAAAAATATTTCCTCCTATAAGTACGAAAAAATGCATCACTTAAAACTTTCAAAGGAATTGCAACTCTTCTCCTTGCAGCAACTAGATTTATGTGTATGCTTTTGTACAAAAATTTTCCCGCTATTTTATTTTTAAATTCAACAGATTTATTCTTTTACTAATAAAGAAAAACAAAAATAATATGGTGACCCTTTTCGTCAATGACCCCTTTTTTGCGACTTTCTGAAAATATTTAACGCCAACACTGAGATAGGCTGCTCGTAAAAGGCCATGGCCAGCATTGCCGCTTTACTAAAATTTGTATTTTTTTTATTCCTCACATTTGGTAATTTGGTAATTTATTTTTCAATTTGGTAATTTTTCGATTCGCTCCTACATGTCACGTAGGTAGGTCAATACAGGTTTTGATTCCAAATTAGGAAACTCAAAGTTTCGCAAGGTGAAAAATTGTTCCAGCGTTCCTTGGTCATTACTACAAACTGCTTGAAAGTGGCTATTGCTATATCTACCGTGCCCTTTCCCGGAAGGTTTAGGGTGGGCGTACCTTTCCTTGTCCGTTCGCCAGCTTTGCAATCGCCAGCAATATTCCTGTGTACCCCGGCAACCATATGAGTAGAATTCTATGTAAATATGTATGTTCTCATTCAAAAATCTACGGAACTCTGTGGGTGCTTCCTTTGTCTATACGTCAGTCGAAAGCTATCATGACTGCTTTCAAGCGTTGAGTTTTTGAGATATTTTCGGCCACTTGTTGACACGTGTATGTATGTATATTGGCCTCAACTGAACAAATGTGATCCAAAGTTTAGGATTTATTCGCATAAATACGGTTATCTGAGTGGCCTCAAAAAAAAAGTCCAATGGGGCCAAGTCGGATGATCTCAGTGGCCGAACGACATCCTCTCTACGGGAAATTATTATGCGCCTGCTAATCCTCTATTGAAGGAGGAATGGTCAGTGGACACAGTCAGGAAAAGACGATCAATCCATGTCTACACGGACGGATCAAAGCTCGAAAAGAGAGTTGGTTGTGGGGTGTATTCGGAACAGTTAGGTATATCGTTAGGCTTCCGCCTTCCTGACTACTGCAGTGTTTTTCAGACGGAACTGATGGCTATCTCAAAGGCGGTATCAGTAGTTGAGTGTTATACGATTCCTAGTAATGACTGCCGCCCAACCTAACCTAACCTAACCTAATCCCCTGTTGCAATGAACCGTATCCAAGACACTGAGAATGATCAGATGCGTTCAGTTGTTTTGAGATGGATGGAAATGTACAGCCAAATGAAAAATATATGATTTCGAGCCATACGACGGGACCATGTTCTTAAAACGACGCGCAATCGACAAATTTGTTTCTTCGGCCACACTTAGTTTTGAAATCCTCACCAATTTGGCAACTTTTTCTGGTGATTTAGGTAAATAATAAAAAATCATGTTGTGGCAACACTGGCCATGACACGCTACAGCCAGGAGTTTGCTCATTCCTCGTACATACAATTTACACAAACTGTGGTGTGGTGCCAGCGCAAACAATGAACGCAACGAATCAATATACATACATACATAGCTATATAGTGTGTCGCTATGACAATTATGGGCTAATAAATTGAGTTAGAATGCTTTAATTTAAGTTATTGGTTAATAAAAGCCAATTACTACAGCGGCATAATGTCCAAACGGCGCTTCAACCAAGCGCAGCTATTCATCATTGGCATTGCACGAACATAAACAATTTAATAAAACAACAAATAAAATGTGTGTGTTTCTCAAAACACTTATTGTAAATACAAAACAAAGCCTTCAAATATATTTAAATATTTGTTTTAATGCAATTTGTTGCTTTCTTGTTTACAAATACGGAAAAGGCAATAAACTTTTACTCGTACTATGTATAAAGAATTTAATTTTTTGTTCGTTATTCCTATGGAATTTTTGGTATTTATTTATCTTAATAGATTCCTGCCACTTTAAATTTCATTTTGATTGTTCTAATTTAATGTTTGCTTGTTTTTGCATTTTGCAATTTGTTATGCGTGTCTATTGATTTGCCTCTTCAAGGCTTTTGTTTATGCCAATGAACAATTTATGTTGATTTGAAATGCAGCAAAATTTTATTGCCGTTAATAAATGTTCAAAAGAAATAATAAAGAAATAATAAATGGCCAGCTTGGACATTTCATTTCTCAAAGTAGACCTATCCAGTAATAAAACTCTCGAATGACTATGCAAAAGTTAGCTCGTATTTTTACGTTAAAGCCTATTAAGTTTCTATGTAATGATTGAAATAAATGCCTGAGTGAATAAGGTTAAATTTTATTGCAAATATTTTCGTAGAAGATTTTAACCAATTTTTCTGTGTGTAAAAATTCATTAAAATCGGGTTTTCCCTTCTTGATTTTTTAATGTTATTGTTTAATGATTTGACATTGGTAACATGAATTTTTTACCTGAGAAGAATCCCAGTAAAATTATCCGAAGAATAATTTTCTAGAAGATATCAATCCTCTGACGAACTTCAAAATTTGCTTTTAGAGCGGTTTCTTGAAGTAAGGGTCAAAACGACCCTTTCAGGCAGGAGATAATGGGTTAAAGTGCTTTACGAAAATATTCCCAATCAACTTATTTATATAGAAATTTACTGTGGTTGAGTGCTGAAAGGTTCTTACTACTATTCGGTTGCACTCAGGATTGTTGTCTGTAAATCAAAAATAATTGCACATAAAAAATTACTCATACGCACTGTCGGCAAAATTTGTGGATGCCTTTCTTCACAGAAAAATATCATAGCTATACACGACTACAGAGGAATAGGTAACTATCCCAGAAATGTGTTGTGCGTTTTAGTTGGGCCCACCATTAAAAATAGCATTCATTGAAAAGAGAGAAAAAGCCTCAAATTTATATTAGTTTTTATCTCTTTGGTTCCTTTTAAAGAACTTAGAAACTTCAAATATGTGATTAATTAAAAAATTTAGTTAAAAAATGCATTGCAATGTATTAAAAAATATCTTTTAAAAATTTATCCTTCATTATCCTTAAAAATTTCCAAAGTTTATTTTTGAAAAAATATATGTTAAAGACTAATATACATATACACGACTATATTCTCGAGTTTCGTCATTCTAAGTTTATTAGCTACCTATTCGACCCAAAAAAAAAAAAAAACATTTTTTTATTCTACAGAATTTTTTCTTTAATTTCTTACTCACGTTGCTATCCTACATTATATAGATTGAAGTTTTTAAATATGTATTCTTTTAGTCCTGACGTCAGGGAGAAAAACTAAAAACGCAGTTTGACTATATTTGTACTTCGTTTCGTATTTTTTTTTTTTAATTTTTTGGTTTTGTCGCACGGTATAATATGATTGGCGGAGGTGAAAATCCAATATAATAGTAGTTTCGTTTGATAAAAAAAAACTAACCATCACCAGCCAGCAATCCAAATCAAGAGCGTAAGCGAAAATCCTCAACAATACAAAAGGGAAACCAAAATGTTTACGAAAATAAAATTTGCAATTATGTACTTGCTCACGTTTGATCAGTTGATATTTTCATCCTATGAAAAGTACACCGTTGCCCTCGGAAAAAAGACCCGACTGGTCATATTTCTATTACCTTTGCCAGTGCACAGGGTTCTACCCCTTTCATAACATACGTGTGTATAATAAAAATAGAATAATAACTATTTATGAAGACTTATGTAGCTATAGGTTAATTAGAAAGCGATAAAAAAACCAATTTTTAATGGTCAAGCAAGCAAAGCTCTGATTTAAAATATAAGCAGAAAACGTATCCAAAGCTAAATTGGCAAAGGCCACTAAGATATTTTAACAAATAAATATGTACATATATACAAAAGTGGCACCTATGTACATATGTATGTATGAAAATAAATTCTAAAGCAGAGCGAAAAATAGGCATAAGCGAGTTAATTTTAAATCCTGTCAAATAAATCGGTTTACTGCGAGTAAGATAAAGGTTGAAAGCAAGCATTCCAATGAAATCCAGCCGAAATGAGAAGGGTGCAAATAACCATAACCGCATAAATCATTACCAAAACTCATATTTCTACACAAAATCGGGATTTTATGCATCGAAATGTTTACTAAACTTTTTTTGTTTTTTTTTGATGGAGAGTAGGAAGTTGCACGCTACCGAAAAATGTGTGTTCCTTCCAACTACAGCGCATCGGACGGTAAACCTTTGGGAAACTTGGGCACTACTTTAGCAAACAAGCAATCAAGCAGGGTTTGGAGACAACGAGCAGGTCAACGAATCCTTTGGTGTAGGCCGCCAAGCAGAGACTATTTTGCCATTTGTACAGAGTGCAGTGCAGTGCGGTGCGTTCGTGCTGGGATCGCAGTCGTAGATATACATATATGCACCTTGCTCAAGCGTATGGTAGCTGGATGCTAGCTTTTTATATACAAAGGTGCAACTACATAGGTACTAAAACAACGCTACGAACAAACACTTGTACTGGGTGCGGCTGGCTGACGGCAAAAAGTTGAACAAGATTCGTCCCTTGCAAGCCGTCGCCGCGTCGGTGCCAGGTGCCTGGGTGCTTTCGTGGTGCTTTATGGAGATCAATAAAATCGCACTTACACTGCGTCGTTCCATTGGAGAGTAACATTCGATCATTGGTGGTTCGTGCTGATATTGTTGTTGTTGTTGTTGTTGTTGTTGTTGTTGGCGATTTAGCCGCTCGTATTCGTAGTTATTGAAGTTAACGCTGCCGGTATTGAATGAATCACTGGCTATCATGCTCTCGCCCTTATAACGATGCAGCGACGACGACTCACGACTCTCGCGCGAATCCTCACGTTCGGCACACGAGTACTGCCGCCTGTACTGACGGCGGCGTCGGAACGCACCCTGACCCTGACCCTGACCTTGACCGCTGCTAAAGCCAGCGGAATAGTTGTTGCAGGCTGCTTGCCCGATGGGCAATGGTATGGCGCGATAGTAACATGGATCGTAACTGAATTGACGCCGACGCCACTGCTCGTACTGGCGGTAGTGGCTGAAGAGCCGTCGTCGCCGCAATATAAGCTGCTTTTTGGCCTCCAATAATTCTTGCTCATCCTGATTGCTCGAACGCTCCGTTGAATTCTTCAATATGCTGCGCTGTTGAGTGAAACGTTTCTGCCGCAATTTGTGATCGCCTCCACCACCGCCACCGCCACCGCCACCGTTGACGACGCCACCAGCTTTCGATTTTGACTGTATGAGCAGTTGATGTTGTTGTTGTTGTTGCTGACGCTGCTGCTCGTGCAATAGGCGGTGATCGCGTTGCAATCGGCCATCTACGCCATCGACATCGCCACCATCAACAGCATCCGGTTCGTCCGCATCGTTGGCGGCCGCCTCCTCACTGTCGCTGCTATCAATGCGCCTGATAGCTGTGACGCCGCCGCCGCCGCCGCCACCACCACTACCACTGCCAGTTTCGTGCTCCAAACGTAAACAACTGATGGCGCCACAGCTATGAAATGGGGACGCCAGCGCAGCGGTTGGGCTGTCAATGCTGTCGACCTTGACGTAGCCTTCCGATGATGCAACGCCATCACCGTGCTCTGGTTGCTAGCTCTCCACATCGGCCTTGTGCAGCAGTGCAAACTGGCAGCCGCAGTCGCGCTCCAGCTCGCGTCGCGGACACTGAAAGCAGCGATCGAAGAGTCCACAACTATCGCAACGCGGCAAACACTGAAGGCGAGTGCGTGTGCGTGTGTATGTATGTGTGCGTTTGGACGTGAGCAGCAGCGAATGGAGACACACACATACAAATGTAGGGAACACGCATCACACACATTTACGTCACGAATAGGAAGCGAAAAGAGGCGGTACAATTAGAGCGAAATTGTGTATGTGTGAGAGAGAGAGAGGGGGAGAGAGAGAGAAGAGATAAGAAAGAAAAAGGACGAGAGATGTAAACACTTTGACTTTTGAGTGCCGATGCAGTGAATGCAAAGGACATTAAGGGCTTAACTAATAACTACGCATACATACATATTTGATGGGTGTATGGGGGCAACTGTACTCAGCTAATGGATCAACGATTTAAATATCTTTACGGTAGCTTATACGAATATTTATACATACGCATATTATTGTGAAAGGAGGAGAATGATATATGTAAGCACTACGAGTCGAATACTTTTATGCTTAAAATGCTTGTTATTAAATTTTCTTACTTTCTAAATATTAATTTTTGATGGCTAATCGCAAATAAGTACTGCTACTATGTAAAAAATTAATAAAAATGTGAAATGTGAAAGCTGTGTTTTTATGAAGTGCTTGAAAAAATATGCCTTAAAATAAGAGTATCTAAGGGTTTCATATAATAAGGCAGCTATCGTTTCATGCTTCTTCGTTAATGCAAACATGGAATGCTTATTGTGTACATTTGGCACGATTTGATTGAATTTTCGATGGTTTTAAATAGTTTTGAACAGAGACTGTAAATTAAAGCCATTTTACACAAATTACAAAAATAAACTTATGCAGTCAGCGCCAAAAATATGCATACCCTTTCGTTTAAACGATTTTATTTATTTATTTTTTTCCGTACTAAATGTGTATTATTTTTTTTTATAAAAAATAGAGTTCATTCAACAGAAAAACCACAAAAACAATTTTTTTTTTTATGTCATACACAACCCAGGAAAATTTAAAAAACACCAAGAAATTTACATCGAAGTTCTCAATTCAATTCCTTAGAAATTTTTCGCATGGAAAATTAAATAAATAAAATCGTCAAAACATTAGGGTATGCATATTTATGACGTTACTATACTTATTGTTTACTTTCAATTTCATAATTTTTTAAGGTAAAATTTAACTGCTATTTTTTAGCGAAAAATAACCGGAAATTTAGGTTTCGATATAAGAATTGAAATCATCCACGTTCGATATTTTCACGGGGATTTCTCTCAAAGTCTTTTTGAAATTTTTTCCATTATTTTTAAGTATTTTCTTTGGGCTTATTCAGGCGTGTTTCCGGGCATTTGGTATTCTGACCTATTTTGTTCAGAACTTTTCTGAAATTTGCAGGTTCCGAAATAAACTCATTTCTTAAATATTCTATTTATGGATGCCCTTAATACAAGTAAGTACAAAGAAAAGGAAATCATTGGTAGATTGATACCCAAAAAAAATATGAACCAAAATTAGTTTTCAATTATTAAAGGCAAAAATTAGCTGTTTTTCTTGATCGTAATAATAAAAATATTTGGATAACCAGAATTTGTTGTATAACATAAAAGGATACTGGTACAGTCTCTGGTTTTTATAAAAATGTAAGTAGTTTTTCTACAGCAAGATATACGTACATACATACAGACCATAATTTCAGTTAAGCAAAATGGTAGTGCCAGTGAACTTTTTATAATAACCATCACTATAGTTATAGCAATTCTTAAACTAACTACGAACAAGGGAAATATCTGACGAAAAGTGCTATGTCAGTAAATAAGTATTCATCCGTCAATAATTTTTAGGAGACTTAAAGGTGAATCCTGGAGGTATTGCTGTAATGAATCTTAACCCTTCTCTTCTGTTACAGGTGTCGCACAGTGGTCTGACAGGAACACAAAGTGCGAATTTCGAAACGTTTGGAATTGTCCAACTACACTACCGGCAAAAAGTATTGGCACAGAAAATTTTTCACATTATATGCATAATTTTTTTTCTAATATTTTCTCGCCAATTATAAAAATATGGTTCATTCCACAACAAAAAAAAATTAAAATATATTTCCTAAACTTTGTGCAAAACTCCCGAAAATTCAGCAAATTTTAAATTTTTTGAGAATCCAGTTTTGCAGCCCATTAAATTCTAATAAAAAAAAAACTGCAAGTTCGGACTTTGTCAAAAATAGCAGAGAGTTTTGGGAATGTTATTTTAATGTTTTTTCGTTGTAGAATAAACCATATTTTTTAATTTATTTAATTTAAATTTAATTTATAAATAAAAGTCTTCAATAACTGTTATCTAAGACATATAATATAAAAATCAAAAACAATTGTTATTTTGGATTTATAATATAAAAATTAAAAATAATTGTTATTATTTTAATTTTGCATAAAAATTGCAAATAAAAATTTATTTTCAAATTCGAGTCTTGGCGAAAAAAAGAAATCGATTGGTATGTATCATTTCCTTCATGCTGAAATTTTCCATGACAGTTTTCATCAATAACTGTTATGTTCGGTCCCTGGTTGGAACCATTCCGCCACCAAAAAAGCCATTGCATTGTGTAATAATTGTGTGTAATTACACTGTAATAGGTACTGCCACTAATTTTCAATCAATATGACTTTTAGCGTTAATTTAAACAATCTTTCCTTGAAGGCGTTCGAATGACTTTATCATGCGTTAATTGCCGTGCTAATTTTAGTGCTCGTCGGTTCCAATAAAATTTTAAAATTAAATAATTTTGGTATCCATTAAGGTTGTTCGAACAACAAAATTAATAAAAAAGCCAAAGAAAGTAAAAAGTTAATGCTTAGCGCAATACAAATTATACTTTATTACCGAAACGCTTTTTCAATATTTATTTAGAACAACAATTTAGCTGGCACAAACTCATGCCATATGGGCTTACATATTTATGGACATGTATGTACATATGTATGTATGTAGTTACATGCGTTTATGCGTAAACAAAAATTGTTTAGTTTTATAAAAAAATGCGCATTAAATTTGTATGAACATTTGCACAGCTGAAATTATGGTTGCATTAAAATTTTAGTACTTAGTAAATACATATAAAAGAGAATCTAAATAAATATTTATGCCAACTTTACCATTTTATTTATTTTTTTTGATAATTTTTGCAAGCACAATTTTAATTAATCGAGTCGAAACATCTCCAAATACGTATGTATAAATGCGAAATACGAAAAAAGCAAAAGTTGTCGACTAAAATTGCTCATTGAAACACGCTAATGGCTAACTACATAGTAACTCGCATTGTCGTACATAATACGTATGTATGTGTGTAAGTATGCAGGCAATATGTATGTAAGTGTGTGTTCATGATTGATAACTAAATTACTAAATATTTACGAGCCAGTATTTATTGATAAAATGTAAGTAATAAAATTTATTGAGCTGTATTAAATTTTGTAGATACCTTTACGAATATATCTGGGTGTAGGTTCTAAAAATATATAAAATACAACAACAGTAAACAAATATTATTTCAGTTAATGCTGATAGGTTTTTTTTTAGTATTTTTAGTTAATAGCTGATTGCTTAGATAGAAGTACCAAGTCCATACATACTTTTATATATATAAAGGACCGGGAATGAGCGAAAGAAAGGTGTAGGGTTGAATAACTATTTACATATGATTTTATGTATTTCTGCATATATGCGCATACATATATTTATGCCCACTAACTATATAAGCAGAAGCGTCCATAGCGTCAAGTTGCAAGTCATATTTTTTTAAAAATCTTATAAATTTTTATATCTTTGCATATCGGCGACGCCTTTGCTAAACCGCCCATCGATTGGTTGGAAAACCGTCTAAATCGCTGTTACGGTAAAAATTAGATTTGGCAAACCTGAACACCAGGGATCGAGATTTATGCCTATCAAGTCAATGCCTTCAAAGAAAAACAGTTTTTTCGCATCCCCTGAAAAACCGAGTGCCGTAAGATAGGCGGTTTTGCAATTGGTCGATGGTAGGATTAAGACATCAGCAAAATATTTTAGTTGTTGCTCAATAAATTGTATCGTTAAACATATTTGTCTTCATTTTAGTCGCTGTCTTCATATACTTATTTGTTTTCGTATTAGCCGTCGCATCCGTCCTTGTGTTTGTTTTAGCCGCAGTATTCGTATTCGTCCTCGGACTTTATCCAAATTTGTATTCGTGTTCCACTTTGTATTCGAAGCCATATTCTTGCTTCGTATTCATCTTCGACTTCGTCGTCGTGTTCGTCTTTGCATTTGCCTTCGTACTAGTCTACGTACCTTCGTATTCGTCTTGGTCGCTATCTTCATATGCATCCCTTCGTATTTTTCTTCACATTTATCTTCGTCGTCGTCTTCATATTCATCTCGGTATTTAATTTCTCATTCGTGTTCGTTTCAGTGCGGTCTTTGTATTCGTCTTCGCAGCAATCTTCTTTTTCGTATTCGTTTTCGTATTGGTGTTGTCTTCATCTTGAACTACATCATGGTGATCGCATTCGAATTCGTCTTTGTATATTCTTCGTATTTGCCTTCTTTCACTTCTTTTCAGTCTTGTTCGTAATCGTGTTCCTACTCGTCCTTGCATTCTTATTCGTATTCGTGTTCATCTTAGTGGTTGTGTCTTTGTGTATAGAAACAACGTAGCAAGAGAAAATGCGAATATACAACTCAAAATTAAGAGCTTGCGATTGGAAACCTTTTCAGTGGTGTTTTTATTTTCAAATTCGGTCAGTTAGAACCGCCAAACGAAAGCGGACAAAATTTATGTTAACCAACTAAGAAAACAGGATTTTTCCTTAAACTTTATACTTTCGAATACTTTCGGATATTTCGGGACTAATTTTAGGAAATTTGAGAAATGTTCATGACTTTTTGCATCATCTGGAGTTTTATTCGAAACAGATTGGAATATTTACGTGTTTTCATCTTTGGGGATTGTTCGTGATCTTAACAGATCTTTTTTTAAGGGTGTTTTAACCTTTTTTAGATTTTTCGATAATATTTTCGGGAGCTTTTGTCATTTGTCAGGTTTTATGCGGGGCTTTTTAGGGGTTTTCCAATTTATCGATATTTTGAGGTTGTTCGTGACTTTTCAAGAGCCTCCACCATTTTGTATGATATTTTCGGGACGTTTCGAAAACGTTTTCAGGACATTTCGGAATTTTTGTCAGATATTTTCCGGGGTTAACTTCGGACTGTTCAGGGTTCTTCGTAAATTTTTGTGTTATTTCGGATTTTGTTTAAGATTTTTCCACGACCTTTTGGGACTATTTTTTGAGTAATGGGGATTTTTGATGACTTCTAAAATTTTATTCGAGAATTTTCGGATTTACGGAAATCTTCGCGAACTTTGTAATTTTTGGTAATTTTTCGGGTCTTTCTAAGTTTTCCAAAAATTTTTCATGTCTTTTTCGAGATTTCATCCGACTATTATTGAGGATATTTTAGGATTTTCGAGTTTATCGGCATTTTTAAGATTTCTTGAAATTTTTCGCTACCTTTCAAGACTCTTCTTGGGACATTGAGCGGCTAACTGCTCTGCTAACTGATTTCCTTCTATCTCGCCAAAAGTCCGATAAACCAGACCATGTTCGATCTGGAAACTGGCAATGAACATAATCCCTATACCACCTTCGAAGCAAACAGAAAAGTTCGTCGTACAAGCCTGAGTCTAAAATATATTATATGTATGTACTATGTATGTATGTATATTAGACTGCATCATTCCCCATACAAAAAAAAAGACGGTACTGTTTTTCCATTGGAATTATAAAATCTATTATATTTTAACACTTCGACCTAAATATTTCGGATAAATATTTTATTTTTATAAAGATTTTATTTTTCCGAAATATGTTGGCGGACTTCTTAAAATATAATAAATTTTGTAAAACCGGTGGAAAAACCGCAACTTTTTTGAGGATGCCGTCTAATGTATACCTATATAATATTTGTAAGGCAATTTCAAAACAAGAAAAATGTTTTTTCGGAATTGCCTTGCAAAAAGACTTTAGGCTCACGACTGTACGGCGAACTTTTCTGTACGATTATAAGTTGCTACGGTCTAATGTATGCACATAAAAATATATGTATGTCGATGTTTGTTTGATTCATATAATATGAACACCTCTGCAAATATGCGGATGAGTAACTGGAACAAAGTACTTAAGTAGTTGGATAAGAAAATGGCTACTTAAAGCTACATATCTACTGAAGTTCAGCGGGTGAATAAGTGAAAGCAGAAAAGGCTTTGCGAATGTCTTTTTTCGTAAGGTATAAACTTTTCTTTACATTAACTAGCATAACAAAATACCGTTTGGAATACCTTGAATTAATTTTTGTACTTTCTTTTGATTTTTCCCCTCGCATTCTACACTCTTTACAACGCGCTTTCACACAAAAGCCCTTACGAGCGAACAAATTAATAACGGTACAACGCGCAAACAGTAAGCAAAATGCTGCACCGAAATACATACATAAATAGTTGCGTATACGCAGTGTACCCTCGGAATTTCTGTTATGTATACGTCGTGACATACCGATGCTTAGGTGTGTGTATGCGTGCACTTATGTAGGTATATACATAGTTATACATATTTAGTATATAGATAATTCTTTCTCTTTTGATTGCACTTAATTCTCCATTTTTCATATTTTTTAAGACACCTTTCAAAGGAATTTTCCATTTTTATTAACCAAAAAAGTTTCAAAAGTACCACACTGTATCAATAGTGAGGAGCATGTAGGGCGCACCTGGTACGCAATTACGCGTCAGCAACCAAAACCAAATAAAACCAAGGTATGTGAGATGTAGATACTTAAACGCTCAGCAAAAAGATGCGGACAAAGCTTACCTGATGCGAGTGTTGGCCATTACAGCCAGCGCCAGTGCATACGCCAGTGCCGGGCACCTTCAGCTGTTCATGCTTGTAATCCGGTTGGTAGGGAAGCAGCATGCGTATCTTGCCCCAACGATTGAAGAAGAGCGCAATGGCGCCAGCCCATACCATCAGCACGATGAGTACAATGCCAATCTCGACGCCGCGTATCTGAGAAAAGTTTAAAAGATTTCATTTGAGAAAGGGAAAGAAAAAATCGAGAAATTGAAAGAAAAAATTAATTAAATTAAATGTACAAAAACTCAAATACACCACTGACATTCAAACTTAATCAGAGGTAGTATGTACACTTAAAATTGCTACGAGCTCGCCTACCGTTGGCAGTTCGCGCGGTCTATGCGCCAGCGTGTTCGTCGCCGTTGATGTTACATCGTCACCATAAGTCCCATTCGCCGCTGCTGCTGCGCTGCTAGCCAAATTGCCGCCAAAAAGAGCCGCTCCTCCTCCGCCACCACCACCACCACCACCACCACCAATTGTCCCGCCTCCAGCAATTCCAGCATTAATATTACTAACGCTGTTTTGAGCGCCTAGCGTGCCGACCGGATGGCCAGGCGCATAGTCCTGCTGCGATGATGTCTTAGGCATATCTGATGCCATTGTTTTGATTGTGTCGCATTTTTGTGGCGTATTTCATTTTGTGGTCAGCCGTTTGCGTGTTCATCAATTGGTTGAGCGAGTGGCACAAAAAATAACAGCAATTGTTGGGGACAAAAACAAAATTACAGAAAAGAAGTAGATTGAATGAATGTTTGCAGAGTTCAGGGGAACAAAGGCGAAAATTCGATTAGTGTTATTATTAATGTACCCTGTGTTCTTGTAAGTAGATAAAGTTCTCAAATATTCAATTACGCCATTTGTACGGCTATATTTTTGTACTTGCATACAGTGGTGGCCATATAAATTTGTGCTTTTTAAATATTCTGTATATTATTGTAAGAGAAAAAAGCTTCATAGAAAAACATAGGACGCATCCGACAACAAAGCATAAGCTGCTATAAGCAAATGCAGTTCACCAAATGACCAAATTCCCCTTGCGGAGCGGTGTAAATCGTTTAAAGCTAACGTTATCGTTTTGCACCAAAAAGTGCTATAATTTACAATGACCCTCATTAGAATAGGTTTGATGCATAAACCTTAACACTTGAAAACAAGTGTTATATGTATCTTTCTAATAAGCATATATTTTGAATAAAATTTTTGGAAATGCCGGCTAAAGAAAATCCCTTAAATTAGAAATCAAAAATAAAAGTTTCAGTTGTAAGAAAACTTTGTCTATATATTTGTCTCTGCCCTTCTTTTTTCATGGTTTGTGCTGTGTCTTTGTAAATATTTACCTCTTTATATTTACTTCACCTTCATCCTTTCTTTGCCATTGTCTATGCTTTAAACTTGATCCTAACCTTGATATTAATCTGAACCTCAATCTTAGCTCAATCTATTCTTAACCTTATTGTTTATATTTATCTAAATCTTAAGACTAATCTTAATCTTAATCTAAATCTTAATTTGAATCTCAATCTTAAACGTAATCTTATTTTTACTCCTAGTCTTAGTTTTCACTTTAATCTTAAGTTTAAACCAAATAATTATCTTAATCCTTATCTTAATTTTAATTATAATCTTAATCTTACTTTTAATTAAGTCTTAATCTTAATCTCAATCCTAAACGTAATATTAATATTAATCTTACTCTATGTCGTAACCTATATCTTAATCTTAATCTTAATTTTAATCTTAATCTTAATCTTAATCTTAATCTTAATCTTATTCTTCATCTTCATCTTCATCTGCATCTTCATCTTCATCTTCATCTTCATCTTCATCTTCATCTTCATCTTCATCTTCATCTTCATCTTCATCTTCATCTTCATCTTCATCTTCATCTTCATCTTCATCTTCATCTTCATCTTCATCTTCATCTTTATCTTCATCTTCATCTTCATCGTCATCTTCATCTGAAGTTACTAAATACTTTTGTTTGGCCACCACTGTATACATACATATGTATATGTAAAATTTATAATAAGAAGCTCGAGGGCATTAACACCGGTGGGTATAAATGATATCAAAATTACTTTAGTTTTGGCAGGAATACTATTTCCGGCTGTCCGTCTTCCATTTCTATGAAATTTTTTACTTATGGTTCTATTTTCACTGCTTTGCTTGTACATACTCATTAATATACGCACATACGTATGTATGTATAATCAACTACATAAATCCATTTGTATTAAAAAGTAAATCAATAAAATTGTATATTTACCCAATGTTCGAAATATAATCTGTCTGCTGCGATACTTTTTACCAAGCCAAATAGCCGTTACCGCTATGGAGTACTGCGTGCTGGGCGATAGACGATCTAATATGATTGCCTCGCTATTGCCGGCGACATCCTGAACAACCCTGTAACTTAAATTAATTCAATTACCACTCTTTGCCACAAACTACAAGCGCGACACAAAAAACAATGAAAAGGATGCAGAGCAGCAGGCAGGCAAGCAACCGAGCGAGCGGGCGAGCTAAGAAGTTAAGGAACAAAAAGCAATAGAAAATAGCCTAGAGCACCTATGTCTACATACATATATGCATGTACGAGTATGTAGATGGGGATGCAGCAATCTACATAGTGCATGCATGCATCTAGTATACCAATCTACATATGTACATATGTATTGTAATTGTGTTTCGGAGAGTAAATGAATATAAAACGCGCGCTGGTAGGACAAAACCAATTACAACGGTGTTGACTTGATGGTTTTATCGTGGCCGCAGATGCTGCTACTTGCCGATCTGGAGGGCAAGAGACTCTTGAGACAATAGTGCGAGTAGGTCAAAGTGTAGTGCAAAGGAAGGATTTAAATGATGGGAAGAAGAATGAATGGTGGAAGAATAAAATGTGATGGTGCTTGTATGTATGTATGTATGTGTGTGTGTACGTGCATACGTAGAATGCCTGTGATTAACAAACAGCATAGTGTAACAATAGACGTACGCCAGTTGGCTTATGGCTTGAACGCAACCTGTAACCGCGAAACCATTTAATGCATGTGTATGTAAAAGTAGTGAAAGTTACACATAAATATGCCAGAAAACGCCCACATAATAACACAACAAGATTTAGCATCATTTTGCGCATACTTACTAGCAACAGGAAGGTTTTAACATAACCCCAATTTCAAATACTTGGACCTAAATTTCTAGTTCTTTTTAAAGTGTGTATATTAAAAAGATGTTTTCAACATTTCATCTCTATGTATCAAAGGCCGAGTTGGGAAAAATTTAGCCTAGCTGCTGTGGTAACATCAATTTTTTCAACTATCGTGGATATAAATTTAAAAATCACCGCAATTTAAAATAATGATGAATACTAGATTTCTAGAAATTTTTTATTTTTCAAATATTTTGAGAATTGTAGGAATTGTAGGAATTCTAACAAATTTTTTCTAAGTAAAACAATCATAGAAGCGCACTCCGTCGGTGGCTGGTTGAGCTCTAAAACAAAAAAAAAAAAAAGAGTCGCAAATTTTTACTTAATGGTTTAAGAAGATTGCATCGCTAAAACAACAGTCCTTTGTCACGAAAAACTTGATCATGTAGAACCGACTGTCTTGGGACTGAGAATACACCATCCACTCCACTAGACCGCAAATACGGGCTTTAGTCGAGACTCAATCAATAACTTCCTTAATTCTAATCCTTTGAATTCCTTCGTGAGGCACACGATACCTTGAAACAACTACATTCTAGATATTTTAGCAGCTTGAACTGTTCAGTCGAATAAGAATAAGACGCCCTGACGACACTAAATAACCACCCCTTTATATCGAGCCCTAGTCGCCAAAATAACGTAAGCGACATTTTTTTCAAAATTTTCTTTTTGATGCAGAAATATTCCTAGAGCGTCTAGATGCATTTCTGCATCAAAAATAAAATTTTGAAAAAAATGTCGCTTACGTTATTTTGGCGGTTAGGGCTCGATATGTTTGCCTATTCACATTAGCTCACCCAACATCCCTCCCCCTATGCCCCATACCCGTCGGATCTGAACTTTTCCTAAGCCTGCGGTTAAATGAGAAGAAGGACAACATGATGTGTTTCATTTGTGATTTGCACAGAGTTTAGTAAGCTGATATAATAAAAAAAGCAACAGTGAAAGATTTTCTTTTTCCTTTTATTTTTTAAATAGTTTTCTGCAGTGGAAATTTTTCTAGTCTTCAGATATAAAATAAATGTTTAATTAATTATATTTTTAGAAAGCTTAGATTCCAATATGTACATAAACTAGGTAACATCCCGATTTATACGATTATAAAAAAACGGTTTTCTCGGTATTCAAAAAAATCAAGATTATAAAAAAAAGCCTAAAAATATTCAAATAAACCTGTTGAATGCGTTTAGAAAAAAAAAACAACGGAGTCGATCAACTCTTTAATTACATAAGTATTTAAGCATGTATTTCTACATGCATTCATATAACTGCTATCCGCATACCGTGCAAATGTGGATGTCACTGCAAGAGGTGTTTGTATGTGTAATTAAAACTTTAATTGAAACGAATGAATGCGCGTTCGAGTTAAATGAAGCGCAAGACGATGCTCAATGAATTGAAAAAGTACACTTTGCTGGCAGGCAGCCTGCAAGTAGCGGCCAACCTCCAGCAGGTCGGTGTGCTTGACTGCTTGCCACATTTACCATCCCATGAGAACGGATGGATATTCCCGCCTGAAAGCTGCGCGTGGCAGCGCATTAAACAAATGGAAAGTATTTACTTTTAAAATACCAGTGGCTAATTTTGTAATTTGTTTGGCTATTTTATAATTTCCGCGCTCATGGCGTTGACATGGATCAAAGATAATGTTTGCTGTGGGATGGTGTTGGTGCTGCTGTGGCTTCTACTGCTGCTATCACCACCCACATAATGATATTTTTAATGACATTTAAGTTACTGGTTTAGGAAGGAATAAGTTAAAGCTTGTGGTTTAGCAGCAATAAAAACTCATTTCAAATGCTTGCAGAAAATTTAAGCTTTATGCTAAA